GAATGATGTACAAATGCGCTTTACACAATTGATGTGTGTATGGATTGCGATAACAGTTGTATGAGCCCCTAATAAAATGTTTAAAAAAAAACACAATAGTTTTTGCAAAATCGTTATTTATTGGGGTTGTGAAGAAATACTTCGTAGGTGAGTTGCACATAGATCTATAGTTGCTCAAGTAGTAGCGTATCCAAAGTTGGACGGACTAATGCCAGTGGGCATCTAATCAACTTCTTTATGTTTTTAGATTTACAGGTTTCAAATAGAATTAAAATAGTTTAAGGGGCTCTGGTGGCGTTGTGGTTACGTGTTGGGCTGCTAATGGCAAGATCATCAGTTCGAAACCACCAGCAGCTCCACAGGAGAAAGACGGGGCTTCCGGCTCTTATAAGAGTTTTGGAAACACTGTGGCAGTTCTACCTTGCCCAGAAGGGTTGCTCAGAGTTGGCATTGACTGGATGGCAGTGAGTTTGGTTTTTGTTTTTTTTGTTTTAGGGACATTTGGGGGAAAGTCCTTATCTAGAGCATTCAGAGGACACAGGAATTGTTGCTGTGCCCCAGTGCTTCTCTCATGTCTCCTGTGATTCTGTTTCATCTGGGTTCATCAGGATGATGTGCAAATCCAGGCATTTGGGACATTGACTAACAAAGGCCAAGGTGGTAACAGAATGGCAGACGGAAGAAGATGAATAAGGAAATCTGCCATTGTGTATGAAGTTCTATTTTAATTTTATTCAATTTAAAGCCTCTCGTGCCTCTTTGTTATACCCACTCTGAAATTGAAAGTCTATATTTATTCTTAGCTCTGAGTTTTTTTTCTTTTTTTAAATGAGCTTTTACTAAACCTGAATTCATGAATGTACGAGGTGAACTCCAATTTCTCTACAGCTCCAAGTTAATTCATATTTACTTTTAAAGCTGGGCTTTTCTTTTGGAAGAAAAATACTATTTTGTTTGGTTTTTGGTGAAAGTGTACACACAACAAATTCCATTCTCATTGAACAATTTCTACACATCTTGTTCAGTGACATTGTTTACATTGTTTACCATGGCTTGTGTCAGGCCCGCCTTAGTCGCCCTACTTGCTTTTCAGTGCTTTAAAGAGGTCCCGTGTAGCAGATTTACCTAATGCGACTTGTCTTTTGCGCTCTTAACTGCTGTTCCATGAACATTGATTGTGGACAAGCAAGACAAAAATCCTTGACCACTTCTCCATTCCCCGTCACACACCTCACAGAACCACACACAGTCCTTGGTTGTATTATCATATCCTTTACCAAAAGCGTCTTTTCTCTTGTGATCTTGGGAGACAAACTAAAACAAAGAGAACATTGAGGTTGAGGGTTAATGGACTTTTGGAGGAAGCTTTGAGTTTAAAAGATAATTAACAGGAGGTGTTTAGAAATACAGTAAAAGGTGGAAACCTGCTAAAGTAGAAAAACTCAGCAGCTCTTTCCCATGGACGGAGAGTGGCAGAAACGTGGTGAGACTCTTCTGCCAAAGGTGGAGAACTGCTCAGACCCGGAGCGGGAAGAGAAACAAGCCAGTCCCGCCGCGTCCCGCTCCCCGAGCTTTCACCGTGGTCAGTGATTGGGAATGCGGTGCCTGGTCTCCTAGGAGGGCCCCTGGCATAAAACGTCCCAAGGGCGCCTTTTGAAGCAGTTGTCCACCAGATGAGGGCGGGCAGCAGCAGCTGTTCTGGGAATGCCGTGTTGACCGTGAAGCAGACTGCGGGCCTCCGGGGTGCAGGGGCTGCTGTGGGGCCTCTTCACCCAGAGCGCAGGTCCACAGCCCAAGGGCCTTGATCTTCTCTCCCCTCGTGCCACATCCACAGTATCGGTGCTCTCAGTGGGACAATGGAGTGCAGTGTTGGCACATTTCTTTGCATTAACCACTCCCGGAAGTTTTCATGTGTCACTCTCTCCAAAGGGCTGCAGAGTGGAGTCACCTCCGATGTCACACTCTTCTTACGTACCTTCTTAGGTTCTCTAATTTATAGCAGCCTGTGCTTTATATCTTATAGGCTTTCTTGATCATGGATGGTGAAGCTATACCAGATTTTTCAAGTGTAAAGGAGGAAACGGCTTATTGGAAGGAACTTTCCTTGAAGTATAAACAAAGGTAATGTTGACCAGCAGAGTGAAAATAGGGGAGGGCATTTAGAATACATCACGTCTAGCTTGTGTTTTAAAAAAATATATATGGCTAAATTTAGAGTTTCAGATTAGGAGTCAGGCTTCTAAAAACAGTCATCACATTGCTTGTGTTTCAATAGCATAAAAATGCCACCAATCTTTGTGTTATTCAAATTATTAGAACAGTAAGAAAATGTAGGGTCATTTGTCATTTCTTTTATGCTTATTACCAGACTCGGCCATCTTTGACCTGCTAGTGAGCATGGATTGACCCTCGTCACTTTGGCCACTTGGAGATGCTAGCGAGCTAGAATCCATCTAAGAGACTAGTCCCTGTAGGCAAGTGTTAGCAGTGTCTGAAGCAACCAAGCCTGGTAGGAGGGAAAAAAGGGTAATGGGAGAGTGGAGCAAGTTAGAAAACTTAAATTATTTTGCTGAGTTGGGAAAACTTTTAGCTAGTAACCTTTTAAGTGGCAAGACATGGCGTAATGGAGTCTTTCTGAAATAGTGTCGTGAACAGAGCTCACGAAGCGCAGCACAGTTCTCTTTACAGCCCCTCATCGAGCCTCTTCTTAGTTTTCCTGGGAATCCCCGAAGCCACTTTGTCGTGCACGTGGACACCGAGGGCGGTTGTAAACGTGTTTGTGCTGTGTTCACCGACCCCTTCTCAGAACAATGTTTTCACGGATTAAATCATCGAATTCTAAAGGAAGCTAGTTACTGTATGTACTCTACTATAAGCTGACCCAAATATCAGCCGAGGCACCTAATTTTACAACAAAGTGACATTAAAAATGTGCTTATACACAAGTATATATGGTATATTGAAATATGGTTATCTAAATATCTAGCCAGTTTTGGTGTAGTAATTATTAATGGGTTTCTTATACACCAGTATATACGGTATATTGAAATATGGTTGTCTAAATATCTAACCAGTTTTGGTATAGTAATAATGGGCTTCGTATACACGAGTATAAATGGTATATGGATTATCTACGTGTCTAACCAGTTTTGGTGTGGTAATTAAGAATGGGCTTCTTTTCGGAGTACATGGATACCACTCCATTCTATGGAGAAAGAAGTGAGTGATTCCCATCCTCATGCAGTTTCAGTTTTTCTGACTATTGTCACTGGGGGGCTTGCAACTCATTTCCATGCAGCCCAGCGTCAGTGGAGAGTAAGAAGTGTCTGCTGCTGCTTAGTAGGGTCTCTCTTCACCTTAAAGGGCCCCGGTGCCCAGTGGGTAAGCCTTGACCGCTGCGAGGTTGATGGTTTGAACCGACCCACCCCTGCCCAAAGGTGGGCAGTCGATGCTTTTGGGAAGATTTACAGCCTTGAGAACTCTGGGCTTTTCTACCCTGGCGTATAGGGTCGCCTTGGATTGGACCTGCCTCGACGACAGGGTCTGGTTTTGGTGATAGTAGCATTCGCATCCAGCCCCAGGCGACTGGAGTGGTATGCACTCACCTCAAGGTGGTCCTTGGGTTCATGCTCTAACTCTGCTTTCCCATTTGTTTCTGACTAGCTTCCAGGAAGCTCGGGATGAGCTAGTTGAATTCCAGGAAGGAAGCAGAGAATTAGAAGCCGAGTTGGAGGCACAGTTAGTTCAAGCTGAACAAAGGAACAGAGACTTGCAAGCGGATAACCAAAGATTAAAATATGAAGTAGAAGCATTAAAGGTAATTGTGACAGTGGAAGTTGGTGGCTGGGTTTTATTAAAACGAGAAATCTTATTTTTCACCTGGGGCTTCAGAGCAGCAGGCAACAAGAAAATATAAAACGAGGCTTGAAGTCAGTTTTTGGACAAAACAGTGTGTTTTCTTTCATGGAAACAAGGAAAAGTATAGAAACTTCACAGTTATCAGTGTTCTTGCTATAACGTGCCTAGCTATGCTGTTATAGTTCTTGTAATATCCCAAGGCTGCCTGATAATTTGTTTTGACAAGTAGACTGCTTCATTCTGCAGTACTTCAAATTCCATTTGTATGAAATGATTTCATGATTGGCCTTAGCCTCTTCAGTTTTGGAGTTGTTTGGATTAAAAATTCCTTCTAAAAAGGAATTCTATCCCGATATGATTGCTGAAGACAAATGGGTGCATAAGCAAATGTGGTGAAGAAAGCTGATGGTGCCTGGCTATCAAAAGATACAGCGTTTGGGGTCTTAAAGGCTTGGAGGTATACAAGTGGCCATCAAGCTGAGAAGCAACAAAGCCCACATGGAAGAAGCCCACCAGCCTGTGTGATCACGAGGTGTTGAAGGGATCAGGTATCAGGCATCAAAGAACAAAAAAAGTATCATTGTGAATGAGGGTGAGTACAGAGTGGGGACCCAAGGCCCATCTGTAGGCAACTGGACATTCCCTTACAGAAGGGTTGCCGGGAGGAGACGAGCTAGTCAGGATGCAGTGTAGCAACGATGAAACATAGAACTTTCCTCTAGTTCTTAAATGCTTCCTCCCCCTCCCATTCCTACACACACACACACACACACACACACACTATCATGATCCCAATTCTACCTTACAAACCCAGCTAGACCAGAGGATGTACACTGGTACAGATAGGAACTGGAAACACAGGGAATCCAGGGCAGATAATCCCTTTAGGACCAGTGGTG